TATGCATTTTCGCCGAACAGTATGGAATCAACACCGCATTCAGGCGAAGGTATTTTTTCGATCTGATTTAATCGAAACGAATAATATATTTAAAAATATATTACAGCGAATAAGATTACTATAGATAAATTATACCGTTATAATTATAATTGTGGATTGACGGTTGACTGTAGTGAATAATTGAAGAGAATATTGGTTGAGATGATCAGTAAAAAAATAAGTAAAAATAAATAAATACATATATTTATTTTTAATTTTTGCCGACTTACCGGCCCAAAGTTCAGGCCTTCATCCACTAAAAAAACAGAAATCAATCGGTATGAGAAACTATTAACATTAAAAAAATAAAAAGAAAAAATAATATGTAGGTGAAAGGTAAAGTATAAAAAATATAGGTAGAATAAACTTAAGTAAAATAAAGCAGGAATAGCAAATTTAAAGAAAATACAAAATAACGGTAACAAAGTTAAGAGTAGAAAATAGTGGCAGCAAAATTAGAATATGTAACACAACGGTAACAGAGTTAGGAAATTAGGAATAAAAAATAGCAGTATGAAATAAATAATAACGGCAACAAAGTAGGGACTAATGAAATAAACATGATTAAAATAAGGTAACATAAGAAATGAAAAATGAATAAATGAACAGCAGAATGGAATGGAATGTATGGGATAAATAAAAAAAACGTAAGTGTAGACAAAAATAAACGGGATGACATAGCTGGTAAAATACGATGTAATAGTATACAAAAAGGAAGTCAGATAATCATAGAAAATAACAGATGTAAATAGAAAAAAATGAGACTGTAAAATCTATCAAACCATATTGATTATGTATAAAAGAATAAATACCTATAATATACGTATTTTATTTTATTTATTTTTTTTATTGATCACCCAACCATTCTTCCAATATAATTATATTTTCATTAAAATAGTTTCAGTAAAATACTATAGATGATTAGTATAAAAACATTGCACCACCAGACCGAATTAGGTAATGTTGATTCCAAGATAAAAAGTTATCTTGAATAAACATCTAGTTTTAAGAGGGTTTAATTTTCCTGTTTTCGTTCTCATGGATGGTATTTAATATCACCCATACGTTTCGAGAAATTGTATTTGTTTAAATAACCGAGCTACCGCTCAGAGAAATTAATTAAAAGTAAATCAATTTTAATAAGCCTCCGCCGTTTCTATCCGGATAAAAATAACACCCGAGGAAATTAATTTGAGTCCACTCAGTGCAGTCAATTCCAGGCTATGTAAATTCCTATGAGAAATTAATTATAATTTTATATTTCCATCCTTGTTCTTCATGATTGGATTACGAACTTAATTAAATTTTTTATTTAATTTAATTATATTATTGTTAATTAAAATTTATACGGTGAATGATACAATAAAAAAAAAAAAAAAAGACCAAGTAAGGTCAGTATAACTTCCTATCCGTTTTTATTGGCTGAAAAATTATCCAATATTTCAAGGTCTAAAATTTTTCTTTTGAGAGTCAAAACTCCAAGAGAAGCTGTTTTCGGAAATATTGTAGTCCCTCAATATTCGCTGGTTTGCTATCCACAAATTTTGTTCTTCAGCGGACACAAAAATGAAGAAGAGTTCTACATTTGCAAATTGCGTATTTGACGATTTGTGATTAATATATATATATATATATATATATCCGAGTATACACTGAACATGCATATATACATACATATACTGGGAGTCCCGTAAGTTGAGGGAAATTTTTATAGGGTTGATAGCAGATCTCAAGAGCTCATATGGGCCGGTTTTAAGCAGAAAAGTAGCAAATCCAAGTTTTTTTATTGAATCATAATTAATAATGCATTGTTGTAAACAAAATAAAATATAGTTTAAATGAACATAAAGTTTATCATTGTTAAAACCATTTACAGAGGACTTTTTAGCTGCTAAACTAAGCTAAGTTCTGCTTTTAGAAAAATCCAAATTTGTAAGTGTCAAACTAATTGTTCCTGATCCTAATATTAACGTTTTCATTACAATAAATGAAGCAGTCAGCAGTTTTTATTATTTATACATAAATATTAGGACTAGAATCTTTTTTTTGTTACTCAAAAATACAGATCAACACCCTTTTTTTTTTTATCATCATCCAATTATACAAAAATGTTTTCGTTTAACAAGCTTTAAGTTCGTATTAATTTAGTTGAGGTTTATAAGGAAAATTAATTTTAAGGAATTAATTAATTAAGGAAATTATTTTTAAAAGTACCCCAGTTTTCAACAAAGTGACTATAATTGTTTCAAGGCTTTTATTTTTTGTTTTTCTTGGTCTAGCGTATATTTAAATAAACCCAAATTGCCTAAACAATGATTTTATTTATAAAAAAATTAATTCGAAAAATACTGAATTTTTCAAATTTTTTTTTTTCGATAAATCGGTTATAAACTGTGTTTTTCATCCAGACCGCTATTTTAGGAATTGATCCAAATTTGTAAGTGTCAAACTAATTGTTCCTGATCCTAATATTAACGTTTTCATTACAATATATGAAGCAGTCAGCAGTTTTTATTATTTATACATAAATATTAGGACTAGAATCTTTTTTTTGTTACTCAAAAATACAGATCAATTCCTGCAATAGAGATCTTGGTGAAAAACACATTTTATGAACAATTTATCAGAAAAATATTTGAAACATCATTATTTTTCGAATTATTTTGTTTTTATAAATAAAAAGCGTGTTAATGCAATTGGGTTTGTTAAAATACATCCCAGAAAAACTAAAACTAAAATCTTTGATAAAATTAATTGTTGTCATTTTTGCTAAAGAAAGGGGTACTTGACAGGATAAAAAAATCATAATTTTTCTTATAAAACTTGAGCTGAATCTCATTTTTTTTCCTAATAAACGTCGACTTAATTAATACGAACTTAAAGACCATTAAACGAAGAAGTTTTTGTAAAAGTGGGGAAACTGAATCATAGTTGGATGATAAAAAAAAAATAAAAAAGGCAAATAACTTATGATTATTCTAAAAACAGAACTTAGATTAGTTAACCGCTCAAAAGTCCTCTGTAAATGGTTTAAAGAATGATAAACTCTATGTTTATTTATACTAAATTTCATCTTGTTTGCAATGAAGCAATTGGTAATTATTTAAGTTAAATATTTCTTTTGTTATTGTTTCGATTCAATAAAAAACATTACTCACTTGAAAAAACACAAAACTTGGATTTCCTACTTTTCTGCTGAAAATCTGTCCATGGTTTATATGAACTTTTTTGTAGCTGTTGAGGTCCACTATCACTCATATAATAATTTCCTTCTTGTACTTAATAAATATCTTTTCACTAGTAAAATGGATGGGTAAAAATTTCATTGGATGAATTAAATATATTATTTTTATATTCGTTGTAAACGAAACCGTTTGTTTATTTGTTTATCAGTTAGAAGCAAACTAATTTAAGGTGGAATATAAAAATATGAGCGATGTTTACACAACCTAATAAGCAGGAAATGCAAACCATGAAGATCTGGTTGAACTTCAAAAGAAAGAAACACAATTACAAATACGATTTTTGTTTATTTTTAACGAACTCAGAACAAAAATTAATTTAAATATTGGGTTGTGCGGAAAATAATGCAGGATTTCGGTTTAAAAATAAAAATTAACAACTGTTTTATTTAATCAAAATAGTCTCCATTACTACCAATAAATTTCTGCCAACGTGATGGCAACTTTTCCATTCCCTCGGAATAGAATTTCCCGTCTCTAGGATTGATAAACTCCAGAAAGGTATTCTTATCATTGATTTAAGATTATGAAAAGTAATTTAATAACCTTTTGCAATAAACCAACGATATGATTCTCAGAATTTTCATGATTTATATTATTTAACGTTTATATTTGTTGTAAAATTAATTTCTTATAGTTTATCTATTTAAAAAAAAATCTATCGATCTATTTTTTTTTCTTTGTAGGTATAACTAAACTAAACAAGTATAATTTTATTTAGTCGAGCCGTTGTAGACTCGCGAAAAAAATAGTTATTTTGACTCCTTATATCTTTACAAAATAAAAATAAATAAACGGAGTCAATTGTGATGACCCCAGATCCGGGCAAAATGTATTTTAAATGTTATTTTAAAATACAGTATATTTTAGTTACAAAGTATTTAAATTGTTTTCAAAAAATATATTCCAAACATAAAATACTAAAAGTATTTTAATTGTAGAAAAACGAAATTCAAATACTAAATAATTTCTGGTGTATCACCATATAATACAGAGCAGATCTGGGTGAACATTATTTTAAAATACATTATTAAAATAAAAAGTATTTTGTTTTTCTATAATACAATTTTTATCAATTACTACTTACTTTTAAATTACCTCATTTAATTATTTAATTTTATAGGTATTTAAATTTCAAAAGCAAAATACGTTTTCTATAAAGAATTTAAACATTTGGTTTTTAAAATTGTATTTTAGAAACATAAAATACTTTATATTTTAAGCAAAGTATTTTAAAATACTTTTTTTGTCTGTCAGATACAGAGAACCTACTATAATTTGTAATTTAATTTAGGTATGTTACATAGGTGTGAATGTGTTTTATTTATTTTATTATCATTCGGCTTTAATCTGTTATTTCACTTATCTTGTATATTTCTTTATCCTTTTATTTATATATATATATATATATATCTTTTTTTTTCTCTTCTTACTTGGTTATTTTTATTTATATTCCTTTCTTATGTAGATATTGTATGAATGAAGTAGTGTGGCAGTGTGGCAGACTGTATTAATGCTCAATAAAACAATAAAAAAAAAAATTAAGTATGTAAAATACATTTTTATTTTATTTTAGTATCTTGGATACAAAATACAAATATATTTTTTATACGTGTATTTTAAAAATAAAATACAGTTACTAACAATATATTTTATATTTTAGTTGCAATGCAAAATACAAAAAAAAAAAGTATTTAAAGTGCATTATTTGAAATACTGCTGAATTCTGGTTAGCCATTGTTCAAACAGAAATTCCGGAGACATGTCTATAGACTTTGTATCGACTTTGTATCGATGTGTGTCGCGCAACCTCTGCCGGCCAACCTTCAGTACCGCCTCTGCACTCCACCGAGCACGTGCTCCTTCCATTTCTGATATTATATTTCGAAATGTGGTCAACTGAGAACACTCTGAGGCTAATCGACGTATTTCACAACACGCCGTGTTTATGGAATGTCCTTTCGGACGACTATAGGGACAGGGAAAAGAAAAAGAGATGTTGGAATATAATCGCCCAACAGTTCGGGGTGCCGGTCACCGACGTAGAAAAGAAAATTCACAATTTAAAGACTCAGTTTTACCGAGAGCACAAAAGAGTTACGAAAGATAGGAAGAATAGAGGATATCCTCAAACTGTATCTAACTGGTTTGCTTACAAACATTTAATGTTTCTTCATCATAGAATGAAATTAATACGAAAAATCGGAAACCATTATGATAATGAAGTAAGTACTTTTTTTTTTAATAAAACATAATTTATTTTCGTATTACATCAGAAGGTTTTCTTTTTAATATATGCATATTTTTATTATTTTATCATAAAATGTGTGAATGACTCCATGCCCATTTTTTTATTAGATAACTTAGTAACTAAGAAACAAATTTTAATAGCTCTATGTTATGAAAATCGGCCTCCGGTAAAATACAAAAATGTGAAAAACAAAACAACCTGCAATTGGGTATTAAGTATCTATTATTTAGTAAACTATTTTTACTGTTTTATATGTGCCGACTAGTGTTGCCCAAACGCGAGACCAAGACTCGTCTTGGTATTGCGTACTTTGGGCTTGGTCTCGGTCTTGCCCTAGAGTCTCACAATAGTCTTGCAGTTACCTATTAGCATATTACTACAGTGATATTACTTTAATTTTTTAGATAAGAGAAACCTAACTTAGCCCGAATGAAAAATAAGAAAAGTTCAATGTAAAAGTATATTGGCTATACCAATTCTTTACATGTAGTAATTAATTTTCTCATGTATTAGTAGCCATTTTGTCTTAATTTTTATTTTAAAAATAGATTTTTTTTACCATTCTTGCTCTTCGTCTTGCAACCGTTAGGCGATCTGGCACTTTGCAAGACCGACACCAAATTAACTAGTGCCGACGTTTTGGCCCACGTTTAATTCTCCTTCAGGGCTATGAAAAATTAATATCGGAATAATTAATAAATAATAATTAGGTATGTTATATACTTCTACTACTTATATCCTTCTCGTATTTTATCTGAAGTGCGTCAGAAGTGATACATCCAAGCAGTCCAAGTTATAAATATTGTGTCATTTTCATTAAAATGATCCTTACACCAACCAAATAATAAACAATGCAACATTTCATATCGAATAACCAAAGAATGGTCAGTCCGCCGTCCGCCATTGATATTCTGCGAATTTCTTCAAAAACTAGTTGCCTTTTAGATTTGTAACCAAAGACGCAGGGCACCCCAGGATTATTTTGTAACTCTAAATCTTGTTTTTTTGTCTCAAAATGGGTATTAAAGGATTCATACTATCATTTCTCGGCAGTTTAAGAATACTGATGTTCGCCCAGAGGTCGAAATAGGAATATACCATAATCGTTATTGAAAATGCATATTTGCAAGGTTCCAAATTTTTTTTTTCTACATTTATGCATTCTTACATACAGAAATATTTACTAACAATATAAAAACAGCTCAGTACCACATGAAGAGTTTAGCCATATTTCATTAAAATCGTTACAGCCGTTTTGTCGAGACACTTTTTTCGGCCGGCATTTCGGAATGAAAGGCTGGTTTGTAATGAAATGTACGTAAAAACACTTCTGAATCTGATTGCAATGTTATATAAAAATTTTTAAGCAATCAGTGAAGAACTTTCGCAGATAAGATGCTTTGAAAAAAACTAACATTTACATTTTTATTTATGTACACTGTTTCCAAAATCCTTGTAGAGAGATCCTAATAAAAAAAATAATAATAAAGAAAATTTGTTGAAAAACAGAGAAGAAAATGGTGCTGAACTGTTTTGTTTTTCCTTATTTATATAATGATTATATTTAATAAATAAATTTCTGTCTACATAGGATTTTATCTAAACCATAAATGCTAATATATATATATATATATATATATATAATATATATATATATATGTATATATATATAAAATATTTAAACATTGTCTGGGTGAGAAATTTAATATTTTTTATCTCTTGTAATGATTCCAAAATTATAAATATATATATATATATAATTTTGGAATCATTACAAGAGATAAAAAATATTAAATTTCTCACCCAGACAATGTTTAAATATTTTATCTAAAAGATAAGCAGCTTTTGAAACAAATATACTTGAATTTTCATTCAATCTTTAAGTAGTGACAAGCGCAATTCGCGGTAATTGTGTTTTCTCTTCCTTCCAGGAGTTCCATTCCTGTAAACAATTGCATAACCTTTTATAGATTTTGCACATGTATGTAACAGTTGTGTTATGATAAGTCTCATACATATAAAACGCACAAGACGACATATGTGCGATCCTCTTATTTTTTGGCAACTACGTCCACATTTCGTTTTCCAAAAAAAAAATCCACTATCATTTCTATACAACTTATCGATTATTACGATTCAAAGTTATATCCATATTACTAAAATATTTATTTTCTTATGACAAAAAATAACCTATAATAAAATTAAATATCAGATAATAGAAATAAGGTTTCCTTTCATGTTGATTCAAACCCGTTCCTAAACTGAATCTACAAAAACAACAACCCTATTCAATGTGGTAAAAAGCTTTTATAAAAGCTGCATTGTTTGATGTAATATGAAACTGCCTTGTGAATATTTTAAAATAACTTTTCATTTGTCTTTCTTTGTTGAAATATTAAGCCAATGTTTACAGTAATTAGTTCGCCGTTATTGATTTTTATCAAAACACATTAGTATTCATTATGCTTTATCAAAACACGGGCTCTCCTAACGTCCTCTCCAAAGACCTCATTCACATATAGACCCGTAAATCCTCCTGAGAATCATACGCTCCCACACGCCAATGGCCCTCTCATGTTTTGCTTTGATAACCCACGTCTTCCGTATGTGAATAGCGGACGGATCATAGTTTTATAAATTCTTGGCATTCCTTTATAGACTTCGAAACCTAAGTAGTCGCTGTATGGCATATAAAAAGATTAAGCTAGAGAAAAAAAAAACCTATTCTATAAATGACACTTCAGTTGTAAAATGATGTAATATGATAATCAACTCATGAAGCAAATGTAATAACCTTGTATTTGAGTTTTCACCAAATTACATTTTTTTTTTTTTGTAATATTACCGTGTTATCAAACTAACTTTTAAAACTGATCTTTCTATTTATTCACCGGATGGATAAAAGAATGAAATTTGGAATAAATTTCATCGAATTCCATCAACTGCTTTCAAAACATACTTTCTTCGATTCCTTGTGCATCCTTACACTCGAACGTATTTCTCTTGATGTAAATGTATTTCAAAAACGACTCGTTTGAATAGAGCCAATCAAGGAGGAAAATTGAGGAATAGTGTACAGATAGTTTCGAAGCAATTTCATCTAATTCAATTTAAAAATTAAAATTAATGTAACTAACTGTTAATAGTGTAATAGATCTGAGATCTGGTAAGCATTGAACAGATATACGTGAAGTTATATGCGAATATGTGAAGTTATATTTATGCTATAAGTTAAATGTGGTTATACATTTTTTAACGGTATATCGTGTAGTTGTATTTACTTGACGCGCATAACGCCTATTATCTTTAATTCGATATGATAATATTTTTAAGGATTTTCAGGATTAAAATCTATATTGCTTAACATAGTTTTTATCAAACTCCGCATTCTTTCGCATTGTCATGCGCGTTTCCTTGTCAAGACTATACTTCAAAAACTCTTTCTCCTGTAGATTTTTATTCTCAAACAAGAAATTACAGAACCTTGAAATATAGATGACTATCTGACCAATAATTGAAGTGGTGAGGAATCTATATTGAAGCTACATAAAGACTTTTTTAAATTGTATGTGCTACTTGGAGCGTGTGCATTTATTTTTTTATTCTACAAAACTTAAAAACCAAGAACCACATAGTTTGTTTTTAATGAATAAGCATAAAATAAATGGCAAAACCAGCGATTACATGCTCTAATTAAAGTAAGTCCCCTGTTCCATATATCATGGGTCTATTGTAACCTACAAATATTTTATTTTTAAAAAATCTCAGAATTGGGTGGTTTTCAATATGGAGATCGGCAAACTTTGTCTATTTAATTTGGTTCGAAAAACTCGTAAATACCTATTTGCTTTCCAATTTAATAGTAAGGTAATTTGAGAAAAAAAAAGGAGAAAAAATAAAGACCAGTTTGATGTGACTTCGAATACTCTCAAATTATCAAAATAACGAGATTATATTGGACAAACGGCCCAATATTTTTGGACTCTGCCTTTATTATCGATTTTGTGTTCAAATTATCTAACAAAGTTTACCATTCTCCAGATTAAAAACGCCCCAATTTCAAGAGTTTTCGCAAATAAAATTATTGTAGGTTACGATGAGATGAAGCTTTTTACGAAGTTTCAGGAGAAACTTAACAATTTCATAAAACTATGTCTCTACCTCTGACTATTACTTTCAATAATATTTCATTAATTTATATAGTGAGTGATAAATAGTCAGGACAAAGTCAGTATTTACATTTTTAATTGCAAACGTTTCAACCCGTGCTTGTGAGTCATCATTAGGCTACATTGAAGGCAGTGCTTGAAGGCTGAACAATCGAGGGGCCAAGCCTAAAAAAGAATTACGAAGTGTATGAGAATAAATAATTTTAGTGCTTTGATAAAGGCTGAATTAATAAATATATATAATGTGACTGGACTAGAGATATATCGAATTAAATAAAAAATGGAACATTATTACTTCATATAAAAGTGTCAACAAAATAAATTAAGTTGAAGAAATAAATTAATTTTTTTAAGAAAAATGACGTCATTGTCTGGGAGCGCCAAATGTCTTAGAACCGGGACTAGTTGTAGTTCTTGAGTTGAAATGACGGCAATAAAATTCTTAAAAATTGACCGCATCTTGAATGTTTATTACTCATGAAAATGCTCTAAGATACGTTAATTTTCAAGGTGATTTATTGATGTGCAAATTAAAGGCACACAATGGACTTAATTTCAATATTCGAAGCGCACGTGGTGCCATGTTTTGAAAAGATCGTAGTAAACCAGTTTTATTCTTTAACAACACAAAACTTTGGTTCACACAAGGATAACATTGATTGCTTGTCGCCTGCCTGTCCGTTTATTGGCGGTTTCAGATTAGGAAGAGTAAGATGAGGAAAATGTTGATTATTATTATTATTAGGTATTTTATCTTTTATTGTACATAGTTGTTTGATTATTATTTTACTTTTGTTAAATTTTTTTTTTATATTTTGTGAATGTGTTCATATCTCACTATAATTATTGTCCACGTGACAGATTATTGTATTTCTAAATAAAATAAAAAAATTACCAACGGCACACACGGTAAGAGAGTAATTTTGATTATAAATAGTTTTCTGGGTGATAAATATTCAGGACGCAGTCTTGTTTTTAAATTATTTTATTTATGCCAACGTTTCAACCCAAACATGTGGGACACTTCAGGGCGTGGTTTGATGTTCAAGTACCCTCAGTGCTCAAACCACGCCCTGAAGATGACCCACATGTTTGGGTTGAAACGTTGGTATAAATAAATAAATTTAAAAAATACTGCATCCTGAATATTTATCACCCATTATATGTAGAACAGTCGACTAACTTCCTTCAATAATTCACTAAATAGTTTCCAACATGGTAACAGTAATTTTAATGGCAGTTGTTCGTAATTATTTGTAAAGAATACTAGAAAACGTATGGTGATCCAATAAGAATCGGTATAAATAACTGTACACATTAAATTTTAAGTTGAATGGATATTTGGAATAGAGAACAATATCGTAGCACTTATAAAGTGCAGTATACAATGTTTTTTCTTAACATGTGATCCCCATCTCCTCCTCTAACAAACGTGAGTTTTAAGTTATATCAAACTCAATTCTGTAATACTACAACTTCCTGTTATCTTGATCACACAAATGATGGGAAAAAATTGTCTTAAGTAACTCGACAAATCTTTAAACAAATCAATTATCAAATTTTTATATTAATAAACAAATGTGTGTCATATCCGAGCTCTATTGCAAACACTATGAATACATTGAATAGTAATTTTGTTATTGTTAATAGGATCTGATTGCGTGGAATGATATCTTTAATGTCGAATGATCCTAATGTTGTATTGCAGGTACCTAGCCTGAGGAAGGGTTGGGTACCTCTAAAATTACTGGTACCTGGAGTACCCTGCCCCCAGACAGTCGGGGATGCCAGGGCTCGACAACCGCTGGGGGCGCGCTGTTGCCGGTTGGTGCTTGTTGCTAGCTTTGGCAACCGCGCACTCCTACATCAACACAGGCTATTTCCTTACCTCTCTCTCTTCTCTCCTCTCTTCTAAATCTCTCTTTAGATTTTTTTTTTTCATCCTTCGAAGGTAATTTCCTAGTTCGTCTGAAGAGAGATCTGACCTAACGTAAATAAAGTCACTAATGGAATGTCGTCAATAACGTTATTAATGCTACAAATATTTTGCTTTTATCTCAATATTCCTTTGCAAGTGGACGGTTTTGCGTTTTATTGACGAGATAGAATAGCAGGCACATATAACAATAACAGTAACCTTGGTAAAATAATAACTATTTTCAATCTAATAAATTTAACATTTATTGTTTTCATCGGCTAAATGGAATAAACTCCTTACCGTTCGTAAAAGCAGTAACGGAACGCATATCTGTTTTAACTTATTCTAAAAGTCATTATGGTTTAAGAGTTTCTTGTTCTATTCATACTCTATCGTCTTATTAGATTATAATATAAGTTAATCCTAAAGTTAGATAAAAATGAATTAATGATAATACATGAACAGAACATGCACCTATAAAAGAAGATTATAAGATATTGTTGACATATTTCTGGAAATCAACAATCGGATTCGCTTCCTTAAACAATCATTAAAAGTATGAGTATTCCTTGTGGAGAACAAGGAATATTTAAAATCCTTTTTTAAATTTTATTTGAGGCTATAATTACTTCAAAATAATATAAATCTGCATTCCTTATCCCTCCTTAAATACTATCTATCTAGAAAATACTATTTTTGACTTCGTTAATTTATTAGCAAAAAAGACGAGTCTTTAAATATTTTAAATTCTCCATTGCTTATACTAACTACTTTTATTCGACGAAGCGTTTTTAGCCGCGAGTTAGGTTATGCGCTTGGGTTGAAAGCTTGCTTGTTACCATGTAACGATTTTTTGAGCAAACGGCTGGACCACTTTTTAATTCGATGTTTTTAATTATTTGGTAAGATTCCGTGAGCGTTAATTAACAATATACGCCAGAGTTCAGTTTCCCTTTAAATCGAACAAGCCTTTAAGTACATTAATAGTGTATTTTTTTTTTTAAATTAAGCTATATTTTTTAATTCGTTGTATTCATATACAAGTTAAGTGAAAGGTCAAAACAATTTTTGGCAATGATTATTAGAAATTTATAAATAAATTAGGTACGGCTCACTGTGCTTGAATGGCAGAAAAACCTATATTTTTTTTAATGTATTTGAAAAATAATTTTCTTTACGTCAATGATAAATAGATTCCTTACCTAAGATATTTTATCATTTTAATCTGTAAATTATTGGTTTTTAACGTTATACGAATCTTTCAAATCTGATCACGGAATTGTGTTCGATTTACAACGAAAATCGTTCGATATTATTATTATTATTGGCTCTCACTTTTGGTATGTATGGTGCGATTTCTTTTTATATTAATGTATAACTGACTATTCCAAACGATTCACTGAGTGCAAAAAAAAAAATAATTACCCACAATACTATTTTGAAAAAGTACTAAAATGAAATGAATATTTATCATCCATACAAATTGAAAGCAAATGAGTATTTACTAGTTTTTAGTACCTAATGAAATAGACAAAGTTTGCCCCTCTCCAGATTGAAAACGTACCAATTCCAAGAGTTTTCGTAAATAAAATAGTTGTGGGTTACAATGAGATGAAACTATTTAGGAAGTTTCAGTCGGATGTTAATAGTTCGATAAAAAAGGGCCTGTACCACGAACTAATATGTTTAAAAGGCTTTTAAATAATACAAGATAATAATAATACAAATAAAAATAATACAAGAGCGGTATTTGAAAACGACTAAAAATTAATAAATAGTTTTACTAATATGTATTTTTATTCTAATATTAATATATACGGTACAACAATATGTATTTTTTTATATCGGCGCCTGAGAAATTATATCGTTTCAATGCTTAAATTTTTTCTTTCCAAGTTCTCAAGTTGATTCGAAAACTTAAAAAAAAAATCTAATATTATAAATAAAATCATAGAAACAAAACAGTTTCTAACCTCGATGGCAGTCAAAGTGATAATTATATTAAAATATGTTCTATCTTACGTATATCGCCATATGGACCTATGGACCTATGCCAGCGGATGCCAGCCGCTTGACACTAAAATCAAAAATGATAAATTATTAAACTATTCAAATTGATTTGGAGCTGCTCCTTGATAATATATATAAATTTATTTATATAAATTCATTCTGTAGAATGAATTCCTGTTTTATTATACTGAGTAGATAATATAAATTACTGTATATAAATTTCTTAACAATTTAAGATATTTTATTGTATATTATAAGGCATGTTTCACTGATAAAAATTCTGACACATATATTCATAATTGGAGGTGAATTAAGAGAAAATGACGCAATAGAAGAATTCACACGGAATTCACTTGCCATGAAAGTGATCACCAAGCTTCGTTCGATAAGTCAGAAAATTCATAATAATAGACTGATTATTTGTTATCAATTACTGTGCATCACTAATTTATTTTTCAGCATACTACACCCTAAATTCAGACTCACGCAGACTAACGATACAGTTTCAACATACATGATATCTATGACCAAAAAAACGACAACAGGATACGCCTTGTGCGTCAGAGACCAGGCAGATTTGACATGCAACATCTGTTACACGTAAAACTTTCACGGTCGATTTGCATCAGCCGCGACTGCACGGCCGCAAACACCGCCGAATTTCGAATGTGTCCTGAGCATAAATAAAGGTTTCCTGTTTCGTCCCTTCCCTGTCAGGTCCTGAATTTAAATTATCGGATAACAAAAGGTTTCCGCAGTTGAGCAATTTCATTGAATTGGAACTTTTTAAATCAGAAAACTGGAATATGACAGCATTCGGAAGAACAAGTTTCGAGTTACACATGTATTCAGCTAGAGTCATAAACTTTTAAAATAAGTTTGATTTTAAAAGTATTTAGCAAACTTATTAAGTAAAAGTTAGCGCAATAAAATTTATTCTTATTTCTTTATGATAAAAAGGCAAAAATAAATAATAATATTTATTTTAAAATTTGCCGACGTTTCGACATGAAGTTCAGGCCTTCATCAGGGCTAAGAAAAGAACCAGATAACAAGGTATGAGAAACATAAACAATGTAGATAAAAATATTAAAGTAAAATGAAGTAGGTAGAATAATGACAAAAACAAGAACTAAGAAATAAATAATAATAGCCGGCAAAAAATATAAGGAACTCTATTGCAAAAAAGTTCCTTAGAATTTTTGTTTTAAAAACTTTTTTTAAACATATGACCTTCTGTCGTACAGTATCCTTTAGTAATACCTCCCTTATCTCTGTTGAACAAATCCGATACTTTGGACTCCACTTGGACAAACGTTTAACTTGTAAACCTCATACCAGACTGAAACGACATGATACCGCTCGACGTTTCCGACTACTCCAACACTCAAACGCTCTAAGCTTCCAATTAATTACAAAAGACTCATATACATGACAACAAGAAGACCTTTTTGGACAATTGGATGTGTATTACAATTACAATCCAAAATTCTTCGAAAAATCCTCAATGCTCCTTACTTTGTCACCAATAAAATAATCCATAATGACCTTTATGTTCCTTATGTTTCCGATTTGGCCCAATCCAGGTACCAATCGTTCCATAATAAACTTCAAAACCATCTAAATCCTCTCGTCTCTAATCTTGCTTCCTCTCCTATCCCTGATAACCCTACTAGGAAGAAAAAAGTTGGCCTCGCGATCTCCTATTGTAAATACATTTTTTTTTTTTTAGAGTGCTACAAATGTGTAGTTTCTCAACAAGTTATTTCATGTTATTATTTTCTGTTATCGAATTTACTAAATGTATTTTATTTATTAATACAGTTGTTAATATCATAAATAAAAAAAAAATTAAAATAAAACTTTTTTCCTTAAAGATTTCCCAAAAACTATTAAAGTGAAACTTGTTGATATGAAATTTTTTAAAATGGTTCCATACAAGTTTTAGTTACTGGTTTAAACCTACTGTCAGTTGTATAAATGTTTTAATAATTAATCAAAGTCTGAGTGTTAAAATCAAGTCAAATCAAAGTTTGCAAATGGGAAATTCAAGCCATTAGCTCAAGGGAAGTTCTAAAGTTTTATTCAGTATTAAAATTAATCAATTCAATATTATTTAAAATAATAACGTTGATGCAAATCCGAATAATTGAAGAAAAGAAAGGTTGGGATGATCAGTCAAAAAAATAAATAAGTATATTTATTTTTATTAAATATAAGTATAGTTATATACATATATTTAATTAAAATACTTATTTTTTGACTGTTCACCTCAACTATTCTTCTCTTCAATTATTCACTACAATCACACACCATCAATACACAATTATAAAATTCAAATAATTTTTTAGATAAAAATATTATTTAATACTAGTATGCCCTGGAGTCGAAATCGATTGTTTTGCGTCTCCGGTAGAGTTTCCAGTGAATCCCGCTTGCGTCTTTTGAGTCGGAGCCGACACAGGAATCCACCGACTCATGCCCCCAGTATCGACCTGAGTCCCAACAAGTAAGCGTCGCAGTTGCTGCTCCATTTATGTTTAATTTCTCATTTTATTTTATTTTTAATGCGAATCGTGTAACAGTTTATGATGTGGAATTATAAAGAGACTTTACAGCTGATAGAGGACATGCGGTCCAATCGGTGTTTGTGGGATGTGTTATCCGTTGAGTACAGAAAACGTGAATTAAAAAACAGAACCTTAGCAAATTTGGCTGAAAAATATGATGTGAGTGTGTCTGAAATTGAAAAAAAAATACATACATTGAAAGGTCAATTTCGCCGCGAATACAAGAAAATGAATAGGCATAAAAATGGAACCTTACCCGAATACTGTAATTGGTTCGGCTATGAAAAATTGTTATTTTTAATTCCTGCGATCGAATTTAGAAGGAAGCCTGACTCCAGGAAGGAATATCGTGTAAGTTAAATAATTTAATTGACATAAGATTGTTTTATTATTCTGTATGAATAAAGTAGTTTTATC